TCTCGGCTTTAGTGGATAGGTCGATAACTCCAATCTACCAGCAAGGTTCCCTTTTCTTCTGAGATTCTGCCTCCTTGGATTCTACGTGTGGCTGGTAGAGATATCTTCATGGCTGTCCTGGTCAAGGCTGAGCCAGCAACTCACAGCCCTCTGTATCCCTAGTGTCCTGGTTTCCTGGGAATGAAAACTTACAGACGCTGACAGAGCACCTGTTCTAATGCAATCTAATTGATCTCACCATTTATCAAGGAACTTCAGGCATGGCGGGAACTAAAGCCTCCTTTCCCCAAAGGGGCATTTTAAGTGGGTTCAACTACTTTGATCTCATCTTTATCATGTACAATGAGTTCTAGGAACACAAAATTGCAGTAGTAATGTCAGGATTAAATTTTTATTGCTAAGGCTTTGAAACACAAACAAAATTTTAAAAGCTCATTAGTGACTGAAAATTATAATCCTGCTGAGGGCACATTTTACTGCTATAATAACTATAAAACACAATGATAAATATGAAATATTATACTAGAATTTGGAGGGATATTTTCACCCTCATTGTCTTATTAAACTCAGTAGAAATTATTTTTTGGTGTATAGTCTTATTGTATAAACAGGTTATCATTAAGACTAAACAAAAAATATTCTGTTTAAAATCAAAATAAAGCTAGTAACAGTTTTTGCAGGTTGAACTGTAAAATACAAAGGTGAGAAATAACTTCATCATCTGGAAAGATAGTTTTGTCTTTATTTGTGGGAGGACATAGTTTGTCTCCTTGTTCATTCACCCCTTCACTTTTACAAAGCATATTTATTGAGTACCATAATATACCTGGCACTGTGCTTAGTGAGTAAAGATGCCAGATAGGCTTGGTGTCATCTTTATCTTTGTGTTTCTCATTAACAATGTCTTTAATCTTGGAGTACTTTGAAATAGTAACTCAGATTGCTAGTTGACTTGAAAATGAACTCTTTTTTTTCTCTCATGTTGGGAGAGAAAATGTGTTTACCCAGGGAAAGTACCTAGAGAGTCCAATGTTTTTGGCCACTCAGTAGTTCTTCCTCACTTTAAGGCAGTAGCTGTGGAAAGGGAGATATATAATATGTATAAATATTATATATATATTAATTTTTTTTTGGGGGGTCTCCAGCTGAACATCAGAGACTCTGTCAGGAGGATGGAGTTGCCACAGGACATTGGTATCACCAAATCTTGAAGGTGTAACAGTGATAGAATCCCAAAGGGAGGGTTCAGAGACTCCTGCTGACAGGTCCATGGTGATCCTTACAAGGCAACATGGTAGACAAAAACCATTTGTTCAGGAACCAGACTATTTCCATCCTAGGACCCCAATAACCTGGGGAAAATTACTTAGCTTCTCTGTGCTGTGACTGACTTGTCTAATGGGGATGGGAATAACCATGAGTTCCTCCTAGGTCTTGACAGAATTAAATGAGTTTATTTGTGTACAGTGCTCAGCGCAGAGAGACTGGCTCACAGAACTCTAAGTGGTGGTGGTGTTGGGGCGGTAGTTGTGAGGATGAGCATCAACATCCTCCTCCTCATTGATTTCTTTATTACTTTCTGTCACAGTCACTGTCGGTCAATCAGTGGCAGGCAGTAATCAGTAAGGTAGTAGGTCTCATTTCCCAGGGGACTGCGGTTCGAGAATTGAGGGAGAATATCTTGCTGGGTGTTAATGCAACTGTGTTGCTCCAGTGACTCTCACCTGTAAGTATTGGTTGGAGATTGTCCAGTTGTCCTGTTGTCTTCTAACATGGTTCCCAATGGTCACCAGCCCTTGGGAGCTCATCTGCACTGGCTCATCTTTGATTGGCTCTCTGGGGGAGGCAGACCTTCGTCCTTGCTGCTTGCCCTGATGTTTGCAGTGGTGCCTCTGGTGCCTGGAAGTGACACCTCGTGCAGGTTCTGAGTAGTTTCTCACTCTTGCATCCCTGGTGCATATCCTGCCCACCTCCCAGCCCCCACCCTCACCCCAACACACACACACACACACACACACACACACTTCTCTCTTGATAACAGCACAGGGGGACAGTGGAGAAAACAAGGGTTGGGGGATATTCGCAGTTCGGCAATTCTCAAATGGGGCCATTTTGTTCCCCACACCAGGAGATATTTGACAATGTCGGGAGGCACCTTTGGTTGTCATAACTGGGGAATTGCTACTGTCAATTAGTTGGTAGAAGTAGTAAAGCTGCCGAAGCTCCTACAATGCACAGGACAGTCCCCATATCAATGACTGATGTGGCCCATGGTGTCAGTCATGCTGAGGTTGAGAGACACAGGGTTAGCCCATGCCTGAGGGGGGACCTGGGCTTCAGTGTCTGGTTAACAACAGTTGCTAGTAACAGTTAAATGCTGTTTTAACACCGGTTCTAGTTGACTGGTGATACAGGCTCCAGGCAGAGTTTGGAGATGGGGAGATTGATATCCTGCATCTGAGGAGTGTTTGCTTCTGCTGAGCTTAGCCACCTCTCAGTGGCACAATTGTCCCTGTCTGCATGGCTAGCCTCCAGTAATCTCCAGAACTCAGGAGAGCCAGTTAATGCATTCAACACAGCTACAGAGCAGAGCAGGTGACTGACTCCCACCATCCATGCCAGCTAATGACGTGCCAGGGACGCACTGAGTCATGCTATAGCCAGGGAGGAGCATGATCTCATGACCCTTCGGATTAAGTAACAAAGCTTTGCATCACCCAAGGAGAGACTTCTTTAGGAAGGATGAGAGCATGTTCCAGAGGGAATTTTTATTTTATTTATACAGGTAATAGGGAGTTTTGCCTTGGTAATTATGTGCCAGGCATTACTTGGCATTTGGTAAACATTAACAAATTAATGCTTGGTGGTTTTTTTTTTTTTTTCTGCCTTTACTTCTTCTTTTGGTGGTTCTGAGATCAAACTCGGGACCTACCACTAAGCTACACCCCCAGGCCTCCTTGAGTGCTCATTATGAAACCAAACCTGTTCTTGCCAGCAAAACAGTGCTAAAGGAACAGGAATGGAGAACCAAAACGTGAGCCCAGGAATTCTGGGCCCTTTACCACTATGGGATAGGGGAAAGACTCTGAACTTCATACTTGAACTGTCTCCAAACTTCAGTTTTCTCATCTGTACAGTGGAATTATACTGACCTCAGGGGGAGGCCGTGAGGATCAAACAGGGTTGCTTACCTGTGTGCTTGGTATGTGACCAGCATTAATTCCCCTCCAACCTTTGGTGCTGCAGTCACCATTGCTCCCTGCTGGCCTTTGTGTGTTGCATAATTGTTCTATATTTTGGCTGGTAGGTGTAGACACAAGAAGGGCACTGGGGAGGAACAGGAAACAAAGTATATTATATTCAGAGGTCCTGGAGACTGGCAGCAGGGCACATCATTCAAGGTCATGCAGGAAAGATGCTGGGTTGTGGGCCAAGAGAGGAGTGAGGATATGAATGAGGGGTGGGTTAGTCGCTTGCGTTTATTAAGGTTTCCTTGAGAAGGGAAGGTGGAGCAGGGTGAAGAGATTAGGTTTGGCTAATTTTAATAATCTTGGTGGGCTCTGGGGTGCAGCAGAAATCTCTAGTTTCCTATTATCTGGCCCTGAGGCCATCAAGGCAGAGTTGTGATTATCTCCTGTGTTTGTGTGGGCCAGATAGTGAAGCTGCCTCTGGGTTCCTTGTTTGAATTGTCAAAGGCTTGCTTCAGACTGGGCTTTTCATTATCTCTAAGAATTGGCTAGCTCTTCAGGGACAACCAGAAAGGTTTTTGAAGATGTTAAAATATTAAAACCTATGGGGGGAAAATTTATAATACCTATAGGTAAAATATGCATTGAACAGTAGTAAAATGAGTTTCAAATATTTATTGGAGTGAAAGATCAAAGAAGCTGCTATGGACTTTATCACCATGAAGAAGTTTAATATTTAGCACTGGGATGGAATTATGCCAAGAACCAGACTTTGAGAATAGAACAACTTTCAGGATAAAGATACAGATTTTGTTTCTGTTTAGTTTTCAGTCTGCTTAAGTGAGCCTATCTTTAAACCATTAACAACACAAACTTCCATGTTAATTACACGTCTGGGTTTCCATTCTAATGAGTTTCTCTCTTGGCCTGCATGCAGCTTGGCTGAGGTCCATTGGCTGTGGTTTAGGTGGGGGAACGGACCAGGTGTGGGTTCTGCTCCTGGGCAGATCAGAGCACCTGTTCAGAGGCGTGCTTTGCTCTGTTCTCTGAAGAATGGAAGGTGACACTTCCCATTTGTCTTAATTCAGGGCTCTTCTGTGTCCTGCTGTCCACACTGGGCATTTTTCCCCTGGCCCACTCCCAGTTCATAAGCAGGTCTGGATTCTGTTCACATGGATGACTCTTGTCCATCTGCCTTTCAGACACATACAAGTCAGTATATCTTTCTTTGATGGTTTCCAGAAGACAGGGTCTAGGTTCATTGCCTTTTTTTCCCCTCCCCTGTGGAGTATGTTGCATACAAACTTGGTAACACTTGTATGGGGATGAAGACAGTATTCCTATAGTTCATCCAGAAGGAAGGTCACTGCTTTTTAACAGAGTCAGATGGATAAGAAACAGACTCCACTCATCAATAAAATGTCAGTGCCACGAGAGAATATCCCCAGCATAGATTTTTCTCTTTGGACCTAGTAGCTGGAAATAATTTTATATTACTTCTTGCCACAAAACACATTCTGTAGCAGACTGATTTGTTTCATAGGTCTGGGCTGATTGATGGTGGCTGCTGTCATCTTTAAGATGTGGGTTATTAGGACAGGGTTTTTGCAGAAACATTTTTTCAGAAACATTTGAGCATTTTGTTTTTTGTTTTCAGTGCTAGAGGTCAAACTCAGAACCTTACACATTCTGGGCCGGTGCTTTACCACTGAGTTATATCCCCAGACCACATTTACAAAGTTTTGTCCTCTGTTATGGGTGAGTGAATAGGTACAGAATTAAAAAAAAAAAATTCTGCATTTCCTTTTTCAGACCTGAAGAAAACTCTTGCTGTATTATTGGACAACATTTTGCAGCGTATTGGCAAGCTAGAGTCGAAGGTGGACAATCTCGTTATCAATGGCACAGGAACAAACTCGACCAACTCCACCACAGCTGTTCCCAGCTTGGTAGCCCTTGAGAAAATTAATGTAGCAGGTAAGAATGTCTGTCCCATGCCCCAACTTGCGATTGAAACCTGCTTTGGAAGAGGGAAGAATAAAGGAGCATCAAGGTTCCTGTTGATATTATATGAATTCCTTAAACTTGGTATGGCTATTGTGAAGATAAGCTGAAATTTATTTTTCAATAACAGATGCCAGAATGCTTTTATGACCTCATTGTCATGTGTAATATCCGGTGGTTTCTCTGACACATTCGCACCTAATGAGCTCCTGAAATTGACGTCTAATGAGAAGATTCATAGCACAGATTAAATGAAATAGAGAGATTATCTGGGAAGCTCATGCCAGTCAGAGTTCCTTCCTGTTCCCCTCTCATCCGATAATTTCAAAAGTCTCTTATGCATAATATATTCTTTCCTCCCTGTTGCTCAAGTAGAGCTGCCATTGCAGAAAAGGCCCTATTTGTACATGGAACAGTAGAAATTCTGGAAGTGACCTTTCGGAGACAGATGGCCTAATTCTGACCAGGTTCTGTAGCCTTGTGGACACTACCATGCATTTATCCCTGGGATGCATTTTTGTCTGGTCCCTTCTTGAAGTTGAAATCTTGGATGAGAGAAGAGAAAAGGGTTAAAAAGGAAACCCAAATGGGTAGGTGGCATGTTATTGTCCATAGCATGCCATGTTGGACCCATCCTTCCACAACCCTGCCCTGAGGATGGCCCTTGGTTCTTCATACCTGAGCCAGGACTGCTTGTTAGGGTGACTACTATTTCCTAGGGACCCAGGACAAAGGGAAGAGCTGGAGGATTTGGGTTAGGTGATTCGGATGATTGGTTGTGAAAAGAGCTATCTATACTTCTGGCAGGTGACCTTAACTCTGGTTAGGAGATAAAGTAAGTAGCCAGGATACTTTTGAAATGTGAAAAACCTACTTTCATATACTCTGTGGCTTTTTTTTTTCTTTTCTCTTCCTTATAAAAATTCAGTCTAAACTAAGGAGAGATTCTTTTCTTGTCTACCTCCCAGTGTCAAAACATTTAATCGTTTCATGTTATTCAGGCTGGTTGTATTACCTTTTTGTTATATTCTTTGCCCCTTAGCAAATTTTAAATTGCAAAATATATTTCTAATAATCCAAAGTATCCAACCAAAGTATTAAAAATAACTTTTAATTACAACACAGAGGCGGTGTCATCTAGGCCATAAATCCCGTCTTCCCTGCAGTTTCCCACAGTTTCTGTAATTAGACAAGAAAACCTCCCACTGTGTTAAGCTGCTTATTAATAAATGGGAGCCATGCCTCTCCAGTCCCACTCCCCCATGCCCATCCCTAGTAGATGATGCTTTTGGAAAGGGCCCATCTGATTCCACCACAGCTCTGCATGATCTGATATTGGAGGTGGGGGTGGTATGCTGGCTTTTAATTTTGCTGCCTCCCTCCCCTCCTGCCTCCGTCCTTCAGTTTCAGGGCTCATGTCAACATATCTGCTATAATTCTCTCTCCAGCTGTGGGCTTTAATTCTGAGTGCCAGTCTCGGAGAGAAAGAGTTTTCCACCAGGGTTTCTAGTCTCAGAGCACAGGATCATAAGTGACCTCCAGGAATAACTTGGGAAGGGCCTTTGGGGCCACTTCTTTAAGATGGGTTATTAGCCCTGTGTGTTGAACTGAGTATAATTCAGCTAACAAGTATCTCTTGAGCATGTTCACTAAGTCATTGGCTCTGTGGAGGGCCTCTGAATGTGCCACCAATGCTGTTTTTTGATATTTAAAGAACTAGAGTGTTTTGTTACCTTTTCCTTTTTGGGAAATAGGGGCAAAGTTAGAGTTGAGCCTTTAATAATTAACCTCATTCTCATGCTTTGCATCTTTCCTGTGTGCCAGGGACACTCTCCATACTTTTATGATTTTTATTGGTCCATTAGGAAAACAGAATACTTGCATATTCTGGCACATTGTCTAGAGAATGTGTTAGGTATACTCCTCTATTTCCAGAGGTGGGAGAGTCCTTTACATCTTGTCAGTTAACCAATATGAATTTTTTTTTTTTATCGTCCATGCCTAGAGATCAGGATGCCAAAAAGAAGGACAAGGACTGAAGTCTATAGTCCTCATTTTTGAGCAGTTTCTTGTTGCTTTCCTGCCCGTTCTCTGGTCATGGCCATACTGTGGGTCCTCAGAGGCCGCTTGTCATCCCAGCAATGGCTCCTGAGCTGCGAGAGAGTTCATTTTTTGCAGGGTTCCAATCTGAGTTGAGTGAAGTTTTTCTTTCTCCTCTCCTGCATGAAGACATGTGGTAATTGCTCAGAAATGTTCTCTCTGGTGTGTCTTTACTGCTTACTCTGGTGTCTTATTGCTCACTGATGTTGCTGATTGCTTACTGTTGTGTCTTATTGCTTGCTGATATATCTTCTGGTTGACTATAAAACGTTTCTAAATTGGGTACCATAGCAGTTGAAGAAGGGCTCCCTAAATTTATTTCCTTTAAAGGGACAGCTGTGTGTGTGTATGTGTGTGTGTGTGTGTGTGTGTGTGTGTGCGCACCCGCACGCGAGCGCACTCACGCGTACGTGTGTGTCCTTGTTCTGTTTAGCTGTCTTCTATGTGGCTTTTATCCAGGATGACTTTTCTTTCCAAATATATCACCCTTGGGCTTTTTTATTATGTAAAAGTCAATGTGCCCCAAGAGAAATTTAGGTAGAAATGAACTTTATTAAAATCAAGAATCAAATTGAACTGCATTTGTGAGCTCAGTTGATTTTTGTGGAAGGCAAAGGGGAATCAAAGAAATGAAAAAGTAGATTTTTTAAAAATCTCTTCTGCTCATCATATGGTAAATTAATTTACCCACATTTAGTCTCTGAAAGGGTTGGAATGTACCCTTGTCAAAATTATCTACTTTCATGGAGGTGGGGTGAGGCTCAGTGGCAGAGCACTTGCCTAGTGATCTGAGTTCAATCCTCAGCATCACAATTAAAAAAAAATTTTTTTTTAAAAGTCTACTACTTGCAGAGTGATGCTTTGGTTTCTAGAACAACCTATCTACCTTACATTTCATGATCTTAAATGATGCCTTGGAGGGAACAGAATAGGCTCTGTAGTTCTTTGCCATGTACCTGATAGGGCATGAAGGCAAAAGCACATAGATACCTGCTAATGAAACTGCTCACCTTTTGAGGACGAGAGCATGTCTGGTTGCTGTGAGTTCTGCCTTCACTGGTGTGTCCAAAGCTTACCTATTGAAGGTACTCGGCTGATACTGCTCACATGGACTGGATTATGCCGGAGGACTTTTTCCCTGTGATTCCCTTTTCTGTTCATATTTATGAGGATCCTCCTGAGAGCAGGGCTTGGCATCTCAGACCTAAGTACGACTGCCTTGTTTGTCATGACTGTGTGTTGCAGAGACAATTCTGTGGGGCAGAGCCTTCATAGAATGTGAGAGTTACAACTCTAGGTTGTAATATTTTGGAGGATTAGAATGCCATGGGGTCTTCTTCAGGGGCATGTATATTTATTTACTTTTATGCTATCTATAACTTGTTGCTGTTGTTTAACAGCTGAATTACTGGCGAACATTCACTCTTTGCTTAAAAAAAAAAAAACAAAAAAACAAAAAACAAGATGCACCAATAGCATCTGCTTTGTGTGACCATGTAGGATTACAAGATCATTTGGGAAACAAGATCATAAAATCGGATGTACAGATTCAACTCAAGTGATTGTTTTCTGATATTTGGCTCAAGCTGAATGTCAGGCAGCCCTGCATTTTTCAACGTTATTTGCTATACGTCATGTTTTCAGTGTTTGGGATCGAAGCACAGTGTATTTGAACTTGGGTGCTGTTCCTAAAAACAACCACGATTATTATTCTTACCATTTGGAACTTGGAAATGAAAAATGCCCCTGCTGAGTTCCGGGCTTGCCTCAGAAAGTGTAATTTCCCCCTTTGGGTTGCTAATGGACCTTGAAATTAAATCGCACCTGTTCTGTGACCTTGTTTGTATTCCTGAGTTTTTCCCTGTCTGAAAGTAGCACCCAGAACCCAGTGTCCCCAGCATCCAGCTCAGGTAGTGGCTCAGCAAGTGACTTTTCCAGGGTTAAGTATTGACCGATTAGTGAGACCCTGTATGCTATGGAGGGTAGGGAAGATGTGTATTTTCAGGGTGCTTTCCTGTTTATTGGAGCGAGAAACAAATGTGTTCTGTGGGTGTACATGTCATTTTCTGTTTCGTTCTTTGCAAAGGCAGCAATAAATGTTTGGATACTTGTCAGAAACTATCCTTTCAGCATCTTCACAGAAAGTGCATGTCATTGTTGGTGTGGTTTTCATTTTATGTGGTCAAGGGCATTTTGATTTTTATCATTAAGAAGAAAAATACAGTTTCAGAGAAATGATGCTGACCTTCAAGGCTGTGGACCTATGGCAATGATTCTCAACGATGGACAACTGTCCCTCCTCCCCAACACACACACACACACACACACACACACACACACACACAAAGGAGAAACTTGGCAATGTTTGGAGAAGTTTTTGATTGTCATGACTCCGGGGAGATAATTTTTATATCTAAAAATAGAGGCCAGGGATGCTACTGGCCTCTAAATATCCTCAGGATGGCTTCCACAACTGAGAGTTATCCAGCCCCAAGTGTCGATCATACTGTGGTTGAGAAACCCTGATCTCCAAGGTATTTTTGGAATCTGGTGGCAGCAAGTATGCCTACTTGAAGTCAGTGAAAAAAAGATGCCTAAGTCAGATATTGAGGTTTCCTACTTGGGCAGCTGAGTCTTTACCTCTTCCTAGTTTGTCTGCAACCTTTGCAACTGGTCTTTGAGACCTCCAAAGAACAAGATTGTATAAACTCCCAGAAGACTGTTTTGAAATCCTAATCTAAAGAAACTCCTCTCTTGGCTCACAACCAATGCAATTTTTGGCAATGCGCATTGTACTTCTGCTTATATAGGAGGTAATTATTTCTTTTCAGGAAAAGAGCCACTAATTCAGAATAATGATGGCACCAAGTAGT